TCTAGGGCCTTCCGGTTTCGGTTCAGTGTATTGCTCACGGGTGCGTTGATTGTTGATCTACTGTCTCCTGCACCCAATAAGTTAAGCGAAACGTGGATGGAACAACAACTTATTGGCTTGGAGCTGCCCAGCTTGAGCAGACGGTAACTGTCCAAATAAGCTCAAAGATTTCTGTCACCGTTGAGAGGAAGCCCCAGTTACCCCACTGCTGCGTTCATCTAGTTGGGTTTTTCGGATACACTGCCCCTCACCCCGTTCATCTCTTGGATAAACCTCTCCAGGCAAGCCTGGATAGTCAAAGGAATCCAGGAGGTGCCCAAGCAGCGGTCATTGTTAGACTGAGATTTGGCATCTACCTGTTGACCTTTCAGGCAAGGTTGGATCCGCGGCTGTGAAAAGTCATCCTGTCTCTCGCAGGGTCATGGGACATGCAAACAATTACACCACGTCAAGGTGCAATCTCGTCGTGATGTACCCTATATATATATGCATCATCGATGTCTACTGTATATTTTGTTCAGAGCAAAGTAGTATAATGGGGTTTTAACGACTCGTTCCACTCTGTCGGTGGTTTTCGAAATAATAACTCATTCGATTGACGTAATACTGTTTTAATGGACTCTTCATTTATTCGAGTGGTAATGTTGACGACAAGATCTTCGCACCTCGTTCTCTTGAATTCCATGTTGGAGTTGCAAAGTACATTAACCAACCGGAGGCGATCATGAGGAAACACCGATATTTGGAAGCCAACTACGTTTTTTTTGCGTTTTGGACAGTAGATCATCTAGCCTTTGGCTGACCATCCTGCAAGCTCCATTCTCACAAAACACAGTTCATTCGGTATGGCGTAAACTCTGAAAGCTTTAAACTGTCATTAGATCTCAGTACACACCCCGGTTCCCCACACCTGTTTTTTTAACCACCGTCCGGACTGACTAGTGTCGTTGGTTCACGTGTTATTTTCAATGGCAACTAGTTGATTGTGTGCCCCATGGCATATTTTTCTGTCTTTCGCTTTAATCACGTACATTGCATAATAATAATCTTCGAACGGAGACACAACAGAAGTTCTGCTAACTGCAGCCACCTACCTTTCAGGGCTGACTGTGATCTCACATACCTGATGATCCTATGCTCTAATCGAACCCTCGTCTTTTACCCTCACCCGGGAAGCACCAAGTGTATCTTTACTCCAACAATATTTGTCCACGATGGTTTAGTCTAGAATTAAATGTTTGTTTCATATCGCTACTCACAAGTGAAAAGAATGTAAATGAAAAATCGATCTTTGAAATTTCAACTAGGCAAATCTACATGAATGGTCCAATCAGTTAAGGGACGTTCGACTGGCGTTGAATTGACGTCCACTAGATTGGAAGCATTCCTGTGTAAAAGGTATCACTGAAGACGCCACGTGAACCAAATTAACTAAGTTATTATGGTTACTTCGAGTTCGTGCTAGCTAACACCAAAGCAACTCGTCTTCCCGTGGTTCGACTCCTAGACTGGTCAATCTATAAGCCCCATTCTAAATCGTAATTCTAATCCGGTTAAGGAATACATAAACAGAAAATTGTACGGAAAGCACTATGAGGGATAAGCACGAGAAAGCTGAATGACACCTATCCGGAAACAACTGCAAGTCCAATCTACAACTACGTGTTTGTCAAATTCCATAATTATGTTTTGACCTTTTGGCTGAAGTTTGACGCATTTCGGAAACTCTTCGTTGTGTGTTAACGTTGTCAACATTATGATCACATTCACGGTAACCAGTAGCTTAATATAATCATTTTTCTNCCCCCCCCCCCGCAGATACCAAAAGCGATGCAGCTGCTGCTGTGGATTTGGATTTGCAATTTTTTCACGATCTCCGAGAAGTTAAATCGTTGGCAGAAAAGAAGGAGTATCTTGATAAGCACAAAACGTAACTTGTTTTCCTCCCGACTAATTCTTTTGCACATTTTACCAACTCTGTCCTCATTTACAATCAATCGATTTCGTAATGATACATTAAGCTGAGAACAGTCATTCACATTTACCTGTCATGTTTCTAGTCGTTAATTAAACAAAGAGACTCAAATAAAACCGCCAAATTAAGTAAATTCGTGTCATCCAGATATTGTATATCAGGTAGCATATTTTATCATATTATCGGAATGTTTTTGGTTTCGCAAATTTGATTTCACGTCGATGATAATGAGGACACTGTTGCCCCTAACAAAAATCAAAAGAGGCGTTTACTTTGTGCGCGCTGGTGTACATCCGTCTGTGCGGCTGAGCAGGGTTAAAAAGCGATATCCACGAAGGAAGAGATCGAAGAATGGAACATTTGAACTAAATTCAAACCGAGTTCAATGGAATCGGACCGTAAAATGCTCGGCGATTTCTCGTCTTGCATACGGCTTGCTTTAGTGTGCAATTCGATCGGTTGATTTTTTGCCTGATGGGTGGGTGAATGTGATGTAAATGCCTTTGTGGGCTTTCTCTACACAACATGTCGCGATCCACTGCATAGATAGTGAAGCACTTTTTTACATGCGTTCGGTCTATGATCCTCCGTTACGCGTGCGTCGAATTTAGTCGGCATCGTTGAGCTCCTCCATAGCGATACCCTTCACCGGCACAAATTTATTCGTGTCCCGTGTAACACTAGTACCGCAGCTGGCTTTAAACGAATATGGTCACTAATGTCAACATGTCCGTCGACTTCTATGCGTCGAACCTGCGCAACACAATGCATAGCGTTTTGAAACCTCTCGTGTTGTTGCGGTGACCTGATTATTAGGTGGGCAAGATGAAAATTCCAAATTAAGAATCACCATTCATAACTGAGGTTAGAAAATTCGGTTATTGGAAAGCGATCCATGCATTTTTCATGTGATTTGCTACCCGCCGATTGTGATTATACATTTTGTGACTCACTGATCTATTTCATTTTCGGTTGTTTTCTGGCTTTTGTTTATCCCGTAGACCGAACAACAAATATCGGGTGTGGCTAGCCAGCTG